ATTCTCTTGCCTCAGCCTCCCAAGTAGCTGGGAGTACAGGCACCCACCACAATACTGTTGAGTTTTAAGAATTCTTTGTACTTTGTACATTCTAGATAACAGTCCTTTATCAGATATGCATTTGCAAATATTTTTCTCAGTCTGTGGCTTGTCTTTTCATTCTCTTAAAACTATGGCTTTTACGTTTTTAAATGATGGAAACAAATCAAAAGCAGAACATTTCATGTCATGGGAAAATCATATACAATTCAATATTAGTGTCTGTAAATAAAGTTGTATAGGAACACAGCCATGCTCATTCAGTTATTTATGACTGCTGCTGAACTACCGCAGCAGAGTGAAGCTGTTGCAACAGACTGTGACACTCATTCCTTCGCACTGCTGCCCAGAGAACTACAAATCACAGCAACTTGGTTCTAACTTCACAAATTTCCAACTGTGTATCACCATACAGTGACATTTCATTTTATTGTTTATTGTCTTTGTCAATCTCTGTCGCTATAACAAACTATGTGAGACTGAGTAGTTTATAAAGAACACAAATTTTTCTCTCACAGTTCTGGGGGCTGGGAAGTCCAAGATCAAGACATCGCAGATTTAGTGTCTTGTTGCTGCGTCCGCATGTGGGGGAAGGTAGATGGGGAAAAAAGGTCCTAGCTAGTTTCACTCAGCCCTTTCATAAGGTGATAATTTCATTAATGAAGGAAAAGTCTTTACAGCCTAATGACCTCCTAAAGGACCCACATCTTAATACTGTTGCATGAGGATTAAGTTTCAACATGAATTCTGGAGGGGAAACATTCAAACATAGCACAATTCATACTCACCATGTTAAAACAAGAAAAGTGAGCTTTGTGTGTTGCCTTTTTAAGGTCCAGTAGAGAACAGGTTTTGTTAATCAATTATGTCAAATGGATGGGTTTATCATGCAATGACTCTGTAGCTATGCTGAAAGAATACCATATACACGAAACATAACAGCCTTAAAATCCTGGGCTCAAATGATTCTCTAACCTCAGCCTCCCGTAGC